TCACCTACATGTGTCAAGTGCGTGCAGACGATCCAATCAGAATGATCCATTTGTAATTATGTGCGATTATGCAAATTTCTTCAAAGTCTTTGGGGCCTGTGGCAGCGTGACATTTAGCTTTTGTTTATCTCTCGAAAATTAGCAGCAGATAGTCTGGCCCTATCATCTGACTGCTGACCACTTAAAAAATGACCGTTCAGACCAGATGACCGCCAAAAGGAGGTGACAGTTAGCACAGTTTCGACTGTATGTGTATAACAAAAACTTAGAAAATCTTCTTTGAAAAAACTCAAATAGTTAGAGTTTAGATATTAAGCACAAAGCATTTTCTAGCGAGTGTCTACAAAGTTTGTTTAAATAAAAGCCCTAGGGTCAAAATTGGCCGGCCCAGGGGGACATTGATTTCCTTATATGTGTATAGCAAAAATTTAAAAAATCTTCTTTGAAAAAACCTGAATAGCCTAAGAGTTTAGATATAAAGCATGAGACAATTTATAGTAAGTGCCTACAAAGATTGTTCAAATAAAAGCCCTTGGGTCAAAACTGGCCTTACCCCAGGTGTGTCATTGTTTTTAACTATATGTGTAAAGAAAAAAACCCATCGAGCTAGACCTTAGATGTTTAGTATGAAACATCTTCTAATGGGTGTCTACCAAGTTTGTTCAAATAAAAGCCCTGGGGTTTAAACTGACCCCACTCCAGGGGCCTATATACAGGTGAGCAACTTCAGGGCCATCATGGCCCTCTTGTTTCTAAGTGTCAAGCGTTGCTTTTCATGATAGATAAATCATGAATGATATCTGAAATGACACATTTAAGTTATTTGGTTGTTTATATCTTATATGAAACCTGTTATATTTTATTATTTTATCTAATTATAAACAGATTTTCCCTGTTCTTTTGTAAAAATCATTGACTACATGTTGTATGTTATTGTTATAAAATCTATTGATAGTAACAGATTGCTAGTAACTAGTGAATAGTTGGCAAAAGGTATGGCGGCTGATAAGATGCAAATGTATAAATAATTATAAAGTTATCTTTCATTAATTAATCAGTTTCATATATTATATCATAAGAAAGGTCTGTATACTCATAATTTTTTAACTTTCTTTTTATGCCCCGAAAGGATGGCATATTATAATGGCACTGTCCAGCTTTCTGTTATTTCTGTCCATCCGTCCCCTATTACACAACATTACACAACATTTATATCGGTAGTGTCAATTTTGCATTTAAGGATTTTAAAAAAGCTTGGCACACGTCTTCCACCTCAAACTTATGTGTTGTGTCCAAAAAGCATGTCCCTACTTCAAGGGTCAAGGTCACACTTACATTTTGAAGCCTCACATTACAGTGTAACTTCCAAATTCCCAAACTTTAAAATCCTGAAACTTCTGAAATCTGAACATTATTCAGGATCTCAAAATTTTTTCTGTTTTCTGGCTTGGCATCTAAGCTTATGATTCTGATGTAGTTGATAGTGTAAAAAAAACATACAAAACAAAATCTTTTATTATGCCCCCATTTCGAAGAAAAGCGCGTATATTGCTTTGCACTTGTCGGTCCGTTAGTCCGTCGGTCCGTAGACCAAATGGTTTCCGAGTGATAACTAAAGAATCCTTAGGCCTAGGAACTTCAAACTTGGTATGGTGATTGGTCATGACCAGTAGATGACCCCTATTGATTTTGGGGTCAAGGGGTCAAAGGTCAAGGTCACATTGACCTTGTAAGCAAAAACGGTTTTCCGATCAATAACTAAAGAAAACTTAAGGCCTAGGAACTTCAAACTTGGTATGGTGATTGGTCATGATCAGTAGATGATCCCTATTGATTTTGGGGTCAAGGGGTCAAAAGGTAAAGGTCACATTGACCTTGTAAGCAAAAACGGTTTCCGATCAATAACTAAAGAAATTTAAGGCCTAGGAACTTCAAACTTGGTATGGTGATTGGTCAATGATCAGTAGATGACCCCTATTGATTTTGGGTCAAGGGGACAAAGGTCAAGGTCACATTGACTTGTAAGCAATAACGGTTTCCAATCAATAACTAAAGAACTTTTAAGGCCTAGGAACTTCAAACTTGGTATGGTGATTGGTCATGATCAGTAGATGACCCTATTGAATTTTGGGTCAAGGGGTCAAAGGTCAAGGTCACATTGACCTCTTGGGTAAAAACGGTTTTCTGATCAATAACAAAAGAACCCTTAGGCCTAGGAACTTCAAACTTGGTATGGTGATTGGTCATGACCAGCAGATGACCCCTATTGGTTTTGGGGTTAAGGGGTCAAAGGTCAAGGTCACATTGACCTTGTAGGTAAAAAACGATTTCCGATCAATAACGAAAGAAGCCTTAGGCCTAGGAACTTCAAACTTGGTATGGTGATTGGTCATGATCAGTAGATGACCCCTATTGATTTTGGGGTCAAGGGGACAAAGGTCAAGGTCACATTGACCTTTGTAAGCAATAACGGTTTCCGATCAATAACTAAAGAACTTTAAGGCCTAGGAACTTCAAACTTGGTATGGTGATTGGTCATGATCAGTAGATGACCCCTATTGATTTTGGGGTCAAGGGGTCAAAGGTCAAGGTCACATTGACCTCTTGGGTAAAACGGTTTCTGATCAATAACAAAAGAACCCTTAGGCCTAGGAACTTCAAACTTGGTATGGTGATTGTCATGACCAGCAGATGACCCCTATTGATTTTGGGGTTAAGGGGTCAAAGGTCAAGGTCACATTGACCTTGTAGGTAAAAAACGATTTCGATCAATAACGAAAGAACCCTTAGGCCTAGGAACTTCAAACTTGGTATGGTGATTGGTCATGACCAGCAGATGACCCCTATTGATTTTGGGGTTAAGGGGTCAAAGGTCAAGGTCACATTGACCTTGTAGGTAAAAAACGGTTTCCGATCAATAACGAAAGAACCTTAGGCCTAGGGACTTCAAACTTGATATGGTGATTGGTCATGACCAGCAGATGACCCCTATTGATTTTGGGGTTATGGGGTCAAAGGGCAAGGTCACATTGACCTTGTAGGTAAAAATGCTTTCAAATCAGTAACTTAAGAACCCTTTGGCCTAGGAACTTCAAACATGGTATGGTGATTGGTCATGACCAGCAGATGACCTATTTATTTTGGGGTTAAGGGGTCAAAGGTCAAGGTCACATTGACCTTGTATGTTAAAATGGTTTCCGATCAATTAACAAAAAACGCTTAGGCTTAGGAACGTTGCGTTCATTGAACGCCGCCTTTCCTTGTTGATCTTGTTTATCATATTTTAGGAACTTCAAACTTTGTATGATGATTGGTCGTGACCAGCAGATGACCCCTAGTGATTTTGGGGTCAATGGGTCAAAGGTCAAGGTCACATTGACCTTTTAAGTAAAAACGGTTTCTGATCAATAACTTAAGAACGCTTAGGCCTAGGAACTTCAAACTTGGTATGGTGATTTGTCATGACCAGCAGATTACCCCTATTGATTTTGGGATCAAGGGGTCAAAGGTCAAGGTCACATTGACATTGTAAGTAAAAACGGTTTCTGATCAATAACTAAAGAACGCTTCGGCCTAGGAACTTCAAACTTGGCATGGTGATTGGTCATGACCAGCAGATGACCCCTATTGATTTTGGGGTCAAAGGTCAAGTTCACATTGACCTTGCATGTTAAAACGGTTTCCGATCAATAACTAAAGAACCCTTAGGCCTAGGATCTTCAAACTTGGTATGGTGATTGGTCATGACCAGCAGATGACCTATTGATTTTGGGGTCAAGGGGTCAAAGGTCAAGGTCACATTGAACTTGAAGGTAAAAACGGTTTCCGATCAATTAACTAAAAACGCTTAGGCCTAGGAACTTCAAACTTTGTATGATGATTGGTCGTGACCAGCAGATGACCCCTATTGAGTTTTGGGTCAAGGGGTCAAAGGTTAAGGTCATGACCAGTAGATACTTGATAACCCTTATTAATTGTTTGATCACTGGGTCAGAAGTCATGCATAATAACCTTATCACATGACTAATTGGCTGCTGATAGGGGGCATACATGTTTTACAAACATATCTTGTTTTATTTTATTTCACATGATGGTGCAAATATGTTTTCTATTCAGACATATTCTTGATAAATATTATTCAACACTTTTTTAAGTATTTATTGTTTATTAATATACACTTTTGGTCAGAATGATAATTAACATGATCACAATATAACCTTCCTTTAATTAATATCTTTACTTCAATTTGGGATCAGATTTGCAGCCTACATTATTTTATCCCTGGGTGATTGTAAGAGACAACTAAATGGGTTCGAATTACTGGCATCTCTTACCTCTAGTAAGCTCCAAGAGATGAGATGGTTTTGACTCCTGGTGTTGCTTTAAAGTTTGTACCACCAGAAGTTAGCTAAAATTATCTTTCCTGTTCTGGTGCATTGTAACCAAAATAGTGTTGGTGTGCCGTAAAACCAAACAAAACAAACAAAGACCACATGTCAAGCATTTCATCAATAATTATAGATTCATTATTTATACTAAAGCTTATCAATTTAACCATTTATTGTTTTGATATGCTGATAAAACAACACATTATCTAGTGTTATTAAATTTCAAATTAACTTTAAATATAAGCAAAACATACAGCCCACATTTTTACAAATGAATGGAGAGCTATTTCATATTATTAAATAAAAACATATATAAAAAAAATGCTTTATGAAAGTGTTAACACTTCCCTTTATATTTTGTTTTGTTCAAGGATAGTAATAGACACCTTTTTAAATTATAAAGCTTTGTAACATTTGAATAGAGTCAAAGCAGACTTGCCATCATTTATTTTTTCAACAGTATGTTATCAGTGTTCAAAATCATTTTTTACTTTGTAAATAATGAACCAACTTTATTAATTCTATGTGTTGCACTTTTTGTCATACAATAGGCTAGAGGCCTGAAGCTTTTTGTAGTTTAAGTTTCAAGATGTGTGAACAATAGGAATAGCTTTATTCCATTGATAATTCATACACTTTAATGTGATCACCACATTGACTCACATACAATCTGTTTTTATCCTGGCAGTATGCCACACCTGCTGGACTTTTTATTCCTTGCTTTTTATCCAGTAGAATCTTCACTTTGGTCAGGTCAGGGGATAATTGATTTATATTGTGTGACCAAAGTCCACATAGAAACACTGCCCCAGATCTATCAACAGTCAGTTGACATGGTTTATTCAGCTGGTCATCCTTGTAAATGGCCTTGACATTCCCATCAAAGGTTAAACCTATCACACAGTTCTTCCTTAAGTCAGATACATATATAACTGTGTTGTCTGCACTGATTGTTAAGTAATAAGGATCAACAAACAGACAATTCCCATGCTGATCTTTATCAAATATTTTCAATACTTTACCAGACATGTCAAGTATCTTCACTGTTGCTAGATAGTGTATGTATGACACTATAAGTTTGTTGTTACTATAGGCAACACCACGGCAACCTTCTCCTACTTTTATATCTTCAGTTTTTGTCACTGTCATACACTTAGAAAATGTTATCAGTTTTATTATTCCAAGTTCAACAAATGTGACAGCAACTTTAATATTGTCAACTTTAGCAACAGCCCAACACCTGGAAGACAGGTCTATTGTATCATATGATGAAGTGCTGACTGACATATCCTTGAAAATAATCAGCTTCCTAGAATTGAAATAAGTAACCAAAAGACAGTTTTCAGATAATAAGCATAAAGATGAATACGAGCAACATGAGACTTTAATATCTGTGTGATAACTTGCAGTTCTTGGTATTATAGATTCATGTATTTCTTGATAGGTGAACAATTTGTCATAGTCTTGTAAATTGGTTATATTTTGTTCAGAAGCTTTGCTGTTTTCAATCCCTGGAACAAAAGCTGGCAAATGACTGACCATACTACAGTACCAATGGTCTTGTGTCTTGCATTCAGTACAGGCAAATTTCTTACAAGCTTGACAATAGAACTTTACCAATTCATCTTGATGAACAGAACATTTCTCTATACAGAAATCCTGTGGCATGTAATCCTTATCCTTTATATAATGAGTGACCAATAATCTTTTATGAAATTTCACACATGTTCCACACAAGTACTCGAAACATTTCACACAAAATCCTTCAGCAGGAACATATTGCTTGTCATGTTTATCACAATGTTCACAAAACATTTCCTGAACTTCATCAGAGTCCTGTGTAAATGAAGCACTGAAATCTATCCTGGAATATGCCATGTTTTTTTATTCAAATTTGTATTAATCAGTTATAAGTATTCCAGCTGATCTGCTTAAGAAATATCAGTTTTCATATTTCAGTTTTTGTTCCTCAGTGTGGAGTTCTTTAACATTAATAAATACATGTAGATCTGGTGTTGATTTTAAATTGTTTAAATTGTGTCAGGCCATATGTTACATTGTTTATTTGATATGATGATCATGTGGTTATTTGTATTGTTGCAATCAGGTGCTTCAATTGTGATATTGTGAATTACTTTATATATTGATAAGATAATCTTTTGACTATTTAATTTACATCTCCAACATCAAGATAACATATCAAACTGATCTAAATAATGACACACACTCACTAAGTATGTAGCACACTCCAAAAAGATTTTAAACATTCAATATAAATTCAATACAAGAGATATATAAATAGTTAGGGAAGGGTTACCTGAGGTTTTCCTCCACCACTAAAGCTTAATAGTCGCCATATGACCTATAATGTGTTGGTCACTGTAAAGTAACCTCTTTAATTTTTATAGTTGCTTAATAATATATCCAGTAAGAAGTCAAAAACTTGTTTCCATGGTATCAAAAGGTGTGTTAAATTTTTCTGACTTACTTACAAAGGTGAATGACAATATCTAAGAGTTCTCAAAGAGAATATATGAGTGTAATAGTGAGTGATAAATGCTATGATGATGATTCACTTAATGGTGATCAAGTTACCTTTGTACAATGTACATACATTTTGTAAATTGTTTTTAGCTCACCTGAGCTTGCTCAGGGTGAGCTTTTAGGATCGGTGAATGTCCGTCGTCCGTCCACAATTGCTTGTGAACACTCTAGCGGTCGCATTTTTGCCTCAATCATCATCAAACTTGGTCAGGATGCTTATCTAGTTGAAAGCTCGGATGAGTTTGAACATGGCTCATCTCGGATGAAAAACTAGGTCACAGGAGCTAAAAATAGAAAAACCTTGTGAACACTCTAGAGGTCACATTTTTGACCCAATCATCATCAAACTTGGTCAGAATGTTTGTCTAGGTGATAGCTCGGATGAGTTCGAACATGGGTCATCTCGGATGAAAAAGTAGGTCACAGGAGCTAAAAATAGAAAAACCTTGTTAACACTCTAGTGGTCACATTTTTGACCCAATCATCATCAAACTTTGTCAGGATGCTTGTTTAGATAATAGCTTGGATGAGTTCAAATATGGGTCATCTCGGATGAAAAACTAGGTCACCGGAGCTATAAATAGAAAAACCTTGTTAACACTCTAGCGGTCACATTTTTGAATCAATCATCATCAAACTTGGTCAAGATGCTTGTGTAGGTGATAGCTCGGATGAGTTAGAACATGTGTCATCTCGGATGAAAAAGTAGGTCACCGAAGCTAAAAATAGAAAAACCTTGTTAACACTCTAGCGGTCACATTTTTGCATCAGTCATAATTAAACTTGGTCAAGATGTTTGTCTAGGTGATAGCTCGGATGAGTTTGAACATGGGTCATCTCAGATGAAAAAGTAGGTCACCGGAGCTAAAAATAGAAAAACCTTGTTAACACTCTAGCGGTCACATTTTTGCATCAATCATCATCAAACTTGATCAAGATGCTTGTCTAGGTGATAGCTTGGATGAGTTCGAACATGGGTCATCTCGGATGAAAAACTAGGTCACAGGAGCTAAAAATAGAAAAACCTTGTTAACACTCTAGTGGTCACAAATTTGACTCAATTGTCATCAAACTTGGTCAGGAAACTTGTCTAGGTCATTGCTGGGAATAAATCGAACATGGGACATCTCGGATGAAAAATTAGGTCACAGGAGCTAAAAATAGAAAAATCTTGTTAACACTCTAGTGGCTACTGTTGTGATCCAAATATTCTGTTAATTGGTCTGAAAGTTTGTTTTGATGATTTCTAAGTCAAGATTGACCATGGGTCATCTTGGATGAAAAACTAGGTCACACCACCCAAATATGGAAAAACCTTGTTAACATTCTAGTGGTCACATTTTCGACTCAATTATCATCAAACTTGGTCAGGATGCTTGTCTAGGTAATTGCTTGGATGAGTTCGAAATCGCATGTGAAACTAGGTCACCGGAGCTAAAAATAGGAAAATCTTGTTAACACTCTAGTTGCTACTGTTTTGATCCAAGTATCCTGGAAATTGGTCTGAAAGTTTGTTTTGATGATTTCTAGGTCAAGTTTGAATATGTGTCACCTGGGTAAAAAACTAGGTCGCTCTGCTCAAATATGGATAATCCTTGTTAACACTGTAGTGGTTACATTTTTGACTCACCTGTCATGAGACTTGGTCAGAATGCTTGTCTAGGTAATTGTTTGGATGAGTTTGATAAGTTGGGTGAGCGATCTAGGGCCATCATGGCCCTCTTGTTTTATTAAAGGAACATTATGCCTCAGAAACAAATATGTTTTTTTTTCTTTCTCTAGAAAGGGCAAACATAGGTTAATGATATCTAGATAATGGCATTTTTTGGTCATAAAAGATGCAAAATGTAAGCAAAGAAGTATTTTGAGTTACATATACAAAATACTAAATCACTGTCACTACTTATTTCAAAAAAAAAGCAAAAGATAATTCAGGTAATTGGCCAATATGTAACGTTTTGGAAACTTAAATAACTGGACACCAAAAAATAAAAATCTTTTGTGAAATAAAATTTAAAATGTTTGTTTGGAATAATGAGCATTTAAAAAATGCAATATATAGAACTCCAAAGTAAAGCAAGCAAACATAAAATATGTTATTGTAATTGCAAGTTAAGGCGGCTGCAAAAATAAAGTATGCAAAAATTTAAAACCCTCTTGTTCTATCAAAAGGGCAGAGTATAAATCCTACAGAAATAAGAATTGTTGAGAACTGCTGAGCAATAAGCAGGAGCTAGAATGGAAATGCTGCACAGAAATTTAAATGATGGACCATTAATGATGATGATGTACAAATAAGCACATTTGTTCTGGTACACTTCAATAACAACATGACCATTTATAATAAAGACACAAAGTGTTAAAAGACATGGCTGTACAGACACTAATGGCATCAGATTTGTAAATCCATGAGTTCCTGGTATGATCCTTAGGCAAGTTAAATTTATCTCTGACAACTAATCTAAGACTCTAGTACTGGTCACTTGTCTCTCACCATTGATTTACAAATCTTGTTGGATTCCTAGTTGGCCACCACTTGCAGAGATATTGGTAATTATTGGTTAGTTATCCAATAAAAAAAAAAACAGGTTAGGTAGATTTGCTGCAAAGATGTGACCAAAAATGTGTTAAAATTGGCATTTAAAAACCAACTTCACAAACAAACTGTACAGATTTGGATGAAACTTACTTGGAATGATCCTTGATTTGTGTATTATAAAACAGCTCAGATTGGTTTGATTCCTTGAACAAGATAGCAAACAGAGTTAAAAAAGAAAGAGTTTTAAGTGATCAAGATAAACTTTTGCTTAAGATGATCATTAATCATGGCATTGTGCCTTGTTTCAGGTGAGCAACCTAAGGGACCTTGTGGCCTCTTGTATATGGTGATAGTGGGTCTTATTTCACTACATGCTTGAACTTAGAGTCTGTTTTAATATTTAAAAATGCATTCAAAATTTAAGTATATACTCCTAATAATATGATCTTATATGAGTTTTGATATATTTTCTAGGTACTCTTGGTGCTCTGACAATCTTGTGACAGATAAATTCCGATGGACTTCAGGTCTGCGTTTACAAGAGTTAATTCCCTTGGAACCAGCAGTAACAAGTAATTCCACAGATGTTGGCCGATCCAGACTTGTAATTGGACACAATGTAGCTTTTGACAGATCATTTGTAAAAGAACAGTATAATTTAGAGGTAAAACTATGTATAAGGGTATTTTTTTTACCAGCAGCTTTTAGTGACTTGCCTGGCCACTATTACAGTATTAGCTTGAAGCGATAATAAGGTGAAATTGTACTCTTTTGTGTGCAAGACACTTTTGGTTACATTTTAATGTATCCCTGAATGTTTTGTACTTAATTACTCTCGATTTATTTCTTTGAAACATTGAAGGCCTTCTTTCTTTCTTACCTTCATACACTGTTTATGAATGTTGTATAAGAAGAGAAATAATTTTAACATTTGTTTCTGAATGTAGTGTATCAGTTAAAACAAGAGACAAATAGGTAGATAAATACATGAATGATAACAGACATATATGATAGATAAAGATTTGTAATCATCAGCTTAGTTATATGATAATTTAAAGGCCTTTGAGCTTTGTAATTGCTGGATATATGTCACAGTTTGTAGTCCGATGTATTGCACTTTGATCATTAGTGATTATGGCCTTAGTTATTACGAAATATTTAAGCAAATCAACAAGCAAAAACTTTCTAAATTTCAAAGTTCAAAGTCAAATGTTTGAGACATAGAATACCTATTTACATAAACTGTACACATGAAATTCTGTCAAATTATTTTTTTAATGAAAAGTCAGTCTGATATGCAGATCTCACTTTTCATAATTTTTGATTGGCCCATTAAAATTCATTTGCAAATTTCAAATGACTTATCAAATGAATTTATTTCTTATACTTCTAAAAGTTGTCAGAATTTGGGTAATTTTAGTTTTAGTAACAATTTAATGGACTTTTCTTTTGAAATCATTGTACATGTATCTTCAGCTGTCCATCTCTCAAGAACTCTACCTGTGTATCACTTATATAATTGACAACCCACAAGGAATCAGCTCTAAGGTTTGCCAGTTTGCAAGCAGTATATACATTGCTCTGTCATCGGCTATTCTATTATGAAATTTTTTGGGACATTGATTTAATTAAAAGCTGATTTGTACAGGGTCAAGGTCATTTCATTGCAGACAAAGTTCATAGATAGAGGGCAGTGAATTGCTAAGAGTGTTATATCGATTTTGTTTGATGATACATATTTATTTATATACATACATGTATTACTAATTTATATGCTGATACTTAACTGAGGTGTGAATTTCCATAGTTATGCCACACATGCATTATTAGTCCCCTACCGGTTTACCGGAGGGGACTTTAGGTTTACCCTCCGTCCGTCTGTCCTTCCGTCTGTCCTTCCGTCCGTCCGTCTGTCAGTCCGTCAGTCTGTCCGTCCACAAAACTGGATCCCGCGATAACTTGAAAAGTACTGAAAATATTTTTATGAAACTTGGTATATGGATAGATGGCAGTATGGAGATTATGCACGTCTTTTTCTTTTCTTCCTATGTTGAAAATTCTGGTTGCTATGGCAACAAATATGCTGAAAATATGGCAAATTTTACACATAAACTGGATCCAGTGATTACGCAAAAAGTACTGGAAATATTTTTATGAAACTTGACATATGGGTAGATGGCAGTCTTGAGATTATGCACGTCTTTTTCTTTTCTTCCTATATTGAAAATTCTGGTTGCTATGGCAACAAATAGGCTGAAAATATGGCAAATTTTACACATTAACTGAATCCAGTGATAACTCAAAAAGTTCTGGAAATATTTTTATGAAACTTGACATATGGGTAGATGGCAGTCTTGAGATTATGCATGTCTTATCTGTTCTTCCTATTTTGAAAAAATATCAGTTGCCTTGGCAACAAATAGGCTTAAAACATGGCAAATATAACAATATTTGTGATTAGTCAAAAAGAGCTGAAAATTTTTATGAAATTGCATCTTTAATTCAAGAGTTATCTCCTGTTTAAGAATTTTGCTTTTAAAATGTTATATTTTGGTAACAGGGATGTTTCAAATATTAACTTTAGAGTGTCCTTCAGTCTGCTGTCTGTCTGTTCATAAAAGCTGTTTCCTGTGATCACTTTTAAAGAACTTTTCCAACAAACTTACTTAAAATAGAGAAAAATTGAAACATTAGTGAATGGCCCTTCAGAATGTTGATGGGGTTCTAACCGGTAGGGGACTTATGGATTGCTTGCAATACTATGATAATTGCTTGTGTTTTTATTGTTAAAACATGTAGTAGCATAATTTGGCATTCCTTAAAAAAATCAAGAGGTTAGATGAATAAAATTGGTCACTGAATCAAAAGATTGATCACATTTTGCTGATCAGGCTGAGCAAATTGTGGCTGATAAAATGGGAAGATGTTCAAGGTAGTTCCAAAGTGGTTCCTATAAAGAAGGTTAATAAGTGCTCATGGTTCCATGCCCATGATTGACTGTATAATCAATATCCTAAAGAGCAGAAAGAGCATATAAAGTATTATATAGTGTTTAATAATATTTAATTGCAATTATTCAATACATAGAGCATATGGAATGAGTGTAGGTTTTATATTGAATTTATTGGAAAAGTTGAATAAATTGTATTTTGAGAAATTTAAATCTACATGAATATAATATTCTATTTAATATCACATATCAGAAAAAAGAATTGTTTACAATAAAAAAAGATTCACTGATTTCATTGACTCGCTTAATGTAATGCTAACTTTTAGCGCATCTTTACACAATGTTTGTATAATACAAATGACGTCATGTCAAAATATACATGTACTGTTGAGTCGCAACAACAGCAAGGGTATGCGATAAAAATATGTAAAATTATATGAAAATACAGAAACAAATATCACAAGAAGTTTAGTGTAGATGGGTCAGACTGCAAATTACAACAACTTTAGCCCACCTAACAGCAAATAAACACCTTGAAATTGTGTTCTTCAGAAAACCAAGTTGAGGTTTATGGATACTATGTCAATGCATATAGCAGTGTGTGGCCTAACCAACTTACAGCGTGTCTTGTATCAGGCTGCTAAAAATGACAGTCAACAGAAAATTGTGAAAGAATATGAACAACGAAACAAGCAAAGAAGAGCATTTGTTGTAAGTATCTTTAGCACACATAAGCACATGTAAGTAAATATGTAATAATCCTATAACAAGTAAAGATCATGCAGTAATCTTTGCTGGTATGATATATAGAGGATATTGAATGATTGTAGGTTCAATACTAAATTTATTAAAATCATATGCCAGCTTCTTGGGAGAACCACAATAAGAACCACAATAAGATACAGGCCAAATTTTTTAGTTTGCATAAAAGATGGTAGATATATAATATTATGGCTTTGGGTATGCCAGGTTTGAGTAAAGAATATTCTTAACCTTTACCCTGCTAAATTTCTGAAAAGGACTTGTCCATTTTTTATGCTTGACATAACCATTCATCCTATTACACACTGAAAAATAAGTATTTACTAGATAGCAAACATTGTGGACCATGATCAGATGTGACAGTGGCTCTTGGTCTTCTCTTGCTGAATGGGTAGATTAAGGTAGTCTTACATTGTACAATACTAGCGCTATCATTATAACTTTTTTTTCACATTAATATGCATATTCAAATGCCCCATCCAATTTTGATTTCTAAAGGTCAAAGGTCAAGGTCAATGTGTATTAACTGAGGAACTTCAAACTCTGTATGTGGATGAGCCATTATAAATGAAGTCTTAAGGAGTTCCAGCTTGTCTATGCCTATTTTTGGGTTAAAAGGTTAATGCGTTCTTGAAATCAAATCTGTTCATTTAGAATTTAATGTGCAGTTTACTATCAAATGCTCTGTAAAATAGAGTGTGCTGCCCAGAAGGCTTAAGTTTTAATATATTTGGTAAAAGATATTCAATATAGCTATTGATCAGTCAAATTAAGATTCTATTATAAGACAGTGTAACTGCAAGGTATCTGAATGTATGAAATCACTTTGACAATTTGCAACAGGTAATGAGTTGAGGTAAGTACATGTAAAACAATTACAAAAAATACCAAAGTGTGGTGAGTTTGACAAAATGCAACTGATATTGAAAGTTGATGGGTTTAACAAAATGCAACATACATATGTATGGAGTTGCAGTACAGCTTTGATAAATTGCAACCGATACTTGGTTTGACAAATTGTAACAATAAGTTTGGTTGAGTTTGACAAAATGCTACAAATGTTGTGTGGTAATGGGTTTGACAAATCACTACTGAAATTGTTTTGAAGTGAGTTTGACAAAATGCAACAAATGTTGACTGGTAATGTGTTTGACAAATTGCTACTGAAATTGTGTTGAAGTGAGTTTAGACTAAATGCAACAGATGTTGTGTGGTAAGGGTTTGACAAATCACTACTGAAATTGTTTTGAAGTGAGTTTGACAAAATGCAACAAATGTGGACTGGTAATGTGTTTGACAAATTGCTACTGAAATTGTGTTGAAGTGAGTTTAGACAAAATGCAACAGATGTTGTGTGGTGATGGGTTTGACAGATTGCTACTGAAATTGTCTTGGAGTGTGTTTGACAGAATGCAACAATTAAATGTTGAGTGTTGATGGGTTCGAAAATTTGTTACTGAAGTTTTGTTTGAGTTAGTTTGACAAAATGCAACAAATGTTGAGTGGTGACGGCTTTCACAATTTGCTACTGATATTGTGTTGGAGTTAGTTTGACAAAATGCAACATATGTTGTATGGTGATGGGTTTGACAAATTGCTACTGAAATTGTGTTGAAGTGAGTTTGACAAAATGCAACAGATGTTGTGTGGTGATGGGTTTGACAAATTGCTACTGAAATTGTGTTGAAGTGAGTTTGACAAAATGCAACAAATGTTGAGTGATGATGAGTTTGACAAATTGCTTCTGAAATTGTGTTGAAGTGAGTTTGACAAAATGCAACAAATGTTGAGTGATGATGAGTTTGACAAATTGCAGCAGATTATACAATAATGAGACAGATTTTAATTTTCGAAAGTTTGCTTGGGGAGTAAGTCATTGATTTCCCTCCAGTCATTATCATTGATTCCTCTTTAGTCATTGATTCTCCTCCAGTCATTGATTCCTCTACAGTCATTGATTTCCCTCCAATTATAGATTTCCCTCCAGTCATTGATTTCCCCCAGTCAGTGATACCTCTTCAATCATTGATTCCCCTCCAGTCATTGATTCCCCTCCAGTCATTGAATTCTCTCCAGTCATTAATTCCCTTCTAATCATTGATTCCCCTCCAGTCATTGATTTCCTTCCTATCATTGATTCCCTTCAGTCATTGATTTCCCTCTTCTTCAGTCATTGATTCCCCCCCCCAGTCATTGATTCCTCTCCAGTCATTGATTCCCCTCCAGTCATTCAGTCCCCTCCAGTCATTGATTTTCCTCCAGTCATTGATTTCCTTCCAGTCATTGATTCCCTTCCAGTCATTGATTTCCCTCAAGTCATTGATTCCCCTCCAGGCATTCAGTCCCCTCCAGTCATTGATTTTCCTCCAGTCATTGATTCCCTTCCAGTCATTGATTCCCTTCCAGTCATTGATTTCCCTCAAGTCATTGATTCCCCTCCAGGCATTCAGTCTCCTCCAGTCATTGTTTCCCCTCCTGTCATTGATTCCTCTCCATTCATTGATTCCCCTCCAGTCATTGATTCCCCTCTAGTCATTGATCCCCCTACAACCCTAGATTTGTTGACAGGAACAAGCTTTAGCTGTATCTCTTTTTTATGCCCCCGCCATGTAATGGCCGGGGCATATAGTGTTACCCTGTTCCGTCATTCCGTCCTTCCGTCCTTCCATCCTTCCGTCCTTCCGTCCTTCCGTCATTCTGTCATTCCGTCATCATCAGTTTCCGTTCATTATCTTAAGAACGGTTGCACACATTCAACTCAAATTTGACATATGAATATGTCATGAGAAAATACAGGTCAAGTTCGAATTTGGTCATGGTTCGATGATTTTTGACAGAGTTATGCCCCTTTTACTTTGAAAATAATATGAAATTTCGGTTTCCGTTTATTATCTCCCCAACGGTACAACACATTCAACTCAAACTTGACATATGGATATGCAGTGACAAAATACAGGTCAAGTTCGAATTTGGTCATGGTTCGATGATTTTTGGCAGAGTTATGCCCCTTTTACTTTGAAAATAATATGAAATTTTCAGTTTCCGTTCATTATCTCCCCAACGGTACAACACATTCAACTCAAACTTGACATATGGGTATGTCATTAAAAAATACAGGCCAAGTTCGAATTTGGTCATGGTTCGATGATTTTTGGCAGAGTTATGCCCCTTTTACTTTGAAAATAATGTGAATTTTCAGTTTCCGTTCATTATCTCCCCAACGGTACAACACATTCAATTCAAACTTGACATATGAATATGTCATGACAAAATACAGGTCAAGTTCGAATTTGGTCATGGTTCGATGATTTTTGGCAGAGTTATGCCCCTTTTACTTTGAAAATAATGTGAAATTTTCAGTTTCCGTTCATTATCTCCCCAACGGTACAACACATTCAACTCAAACTTGACATATGGATGCGTCAAAAGAATGCGCAGGTCCATGTTCAAATTTGGTCATGGTTCAATGATTTTTGGCAGAGTTATGCCCCTTTCACTTTGAAAGTAATATGAAATTTTCAGTTTCCGTTTATTATCTCCCCAACAGTACAACACATTCAACTCAAATTTGACAAATGGATATGTTTTTGGAATGCCCAGGCCAAGTTGGAATTTGGTCATGGTTCAATGATTTTTGGCAGAGTTATGCCCCTTTCACTTTGAAAATAATATGAAATTTACAGTTTCTGTTCATTATCTACCCAACAGTGTTACATATTCAACTTTAATTTGACATATGGATATGTCAAAGGAATGGGCAGGTCAAGTTGAAATTTGGTCATGGTTTGATGATTTTTTTTTGCAGAGTTATGTCCCTTTCACTTTGAAAATAATATAGATACATCTTAGGAATAAGCAGTTTAAGTATGAAATTTATTTATTTATTTATTTTTTTATTTATACATTTTAGGAACATAGCACAAGATACATAATATAAAATCATACAGTTAAGAGATAACATAAATAAATCATATATATAAAATGAGATCATAAAACAGCATAAAAGAGCACACTTTTGTCATAAAAAATAAGAGGTACTATGCACCTATGGATAGCCCATTAAGCTAAATGCTTATTTCCAATGGGGTCCATAGAAATAAAAAAAAAAAACTAACATAATTTTAACCCTTTCCCCCCCTAAAAAACAAACAAGATAAAAAAATAAAAATATAAACTAACTAACTTTGGTCAAAATTTAGGTTGAAAAAGGAAATATATTTATAAAAGTATGCCCTTTTTAAAATAAGCCTAGTATTACTATCACAGAAATATTTGATCACAGTGCCTAACACATTAGTTGTACACATATATATCTTCTGAAAGACTTTTATAGCTTTCTAGTAGGTACTTTTTAACAGATTTTTTGTATTGCACAAAATTATTAATGGATTTTATATATTCTGGCAGATCATTCCAGTCTTTAATTCCATTATAATAAAAGGTCTGTTTCATCACAGAATTACACTGGGGGACAATAAAATTAAAATTGCTTGATCTAGTATTGTAAAATCTTGCATCAGCACAACATCTAAAGTCGGCTCTAAGGTATGATGGACTCTTTTTGTAAAAAATCTTATACATATGATTGAGTCTTAACTGTTTGACTCTGTTTTCTACGTTTAACCAATTTAATTTTTCAAACTCATACACTGTTACAGAAGTTCTGGGCGTTAAGTTTTGGACAAATCTTAATACCTTATTCTGAGTAATTTGTAACTTTCTTTTTAAATGTTTTGATAAACCTTCATACCAAGAGGAACAAGAGTAGTCAAAATGACACTGAATCAGGGCTGAACATAAAAGCTGTTTTGTTTTAGTATCTAAAAGTCTGCTCTGCCTATATAAAAACTTGAGCTTGGCATTCACTTTAGAAATAACGTTATTAACAATAGTTTCCCCAGATAAATCACTATTGATATAAAGACCAAGATACTTGACTAAATTAGTACCCTTTATGCTATGACCATTACATGTAACAGTAAATTGTTCTTGCTTTTGTAATTTTCTTTTGGGGCCAAATAGCATACATTCTGTTTTACCAAGGTGGAGTGACAGCTTATTGTCTACGAGCCATTCTGAACAGCTTTCTAGGGCTGTCCCAAGTTTTTCTGAGATGAAATTCGGGTCTTTATGTGAGAATAAAATAGTGCTGTCATCTGCATAGAGTATTAACTTGCAATCATTATCAATACTTAAAATCATATCATTTACGTAGCACAGAAAAAGCAACGGCCCTAGAATACTACCTTGGGGGACGCCACATGTCACACTGTTTGATTTAGAGTAAGTATTTCCTATATTAACAATTTGTGAACGTTCTGAAAGATATGATCTGAACCAGGAAATAGACTGAACATCCATTAATTCTAACTTTCCACTAAGAATATCATGGTCTACGGTGTCAAACGCCTTTTGCAAGTCAAGCATCACCATACCTGTGTATAGCCCTTTACTAGTATTAATTCTTATAACATCTTGTAAGTGAATAAGACAACTATCTGTAGAATAACACCTTCTAAGACCAGACTGGTGTTCATACAGTAAATTGTTGGAAACCAAAAATGTTTCAAGTTGAACATAAGCAGCTTTCTCTAAAATTTTTGAAACTACACTTAAAATACTGACAGGCCTATAATTACCAACTTCTAGAACACTATTCTTCTTGTAAAGTGGTTTTACTCTAGCCAACTTCATTTCATCTGGTACTTTACCTTCAGAAAAAGATAGATTAACAAATTTGGTTGTGGTTCAATGATTTTAGACAAACTTATCTTTCCTGAATGTTGGAAAAATTTTGTACTTTCAGTTTCAGCACTCATACTTTTAGCCATTATTTTGGCTACAAATATGAAATATGTTATTTTTAAAAGGTTAAGACTGAATAATTTCAGTGTCTTGAACATTGTATGAAAATGGTTTATGTTAACATTTTAAAGTTTTAAGGGCTTTGAACTTAAAATGAAAAAAATAATTAATGCACCATCTGAAATTTTGGCTGCATGCGGGGGCATCCGTGGCATGATGACACATTTCTAGTTCTGTGTTGTTTTAGCTGACAATATTCAGGTGTTTTTCTGTATTTAAGTTCATGTACCAGTAATTAGTTATTCTCCTAGCATGATGGCTACTCTGCAAGGTAAAGAAAGAAAATAGGATCTCATATTTCATTGGAAATTATAGTGTTCGTGTTGCCACATGTCAGCATTCATCATCTCTGGTAATTTTATATCTTAATCAGTATCTAACAAGATGTTATTAAAAACAAAGCAGTCTCAAAGAAACAAAAATTGAAGAATATCTTATTCTAATCATCCTAATGATGTACTTGTTTTGCTCTTTGACAGGACAGCTGTATATTAATTAATGTTGTTTATACAGTCATGTATTTAAGCACAACTCGTCGGCTAATGACCTTCTAGTTTGATCACTATGACGTTCTTAGATCAAAAATAATGCCTTGAAATTCCATGGTTACACAAAATATTATTTCTTTAATACGTGTCTTATGACATCATTATGTATTTCTTTAAATTACTCATGTTTGATTTGAAAATGATCTGTCAATTTGAAAGTTATTTGTCAATTTAAAAATAATCTGTCAATTTGAAAATAATCTGTCAAGCAGTCATCATTCTCCTGTTTTGTCTAACATCGTTTTCCTGCTTTATGATACCATGTGATAATCATGGCCATTTCAAATAAATTTGCACTTAAATCATCACATGTATAACTCTTTTTTAAGACTTGTTCAATATTCCATCTATATGAACTGTTTACTCATGTATGGTCATATTTAAAATAGTCTAATTGGTTTACTATAAGTATTGTGCTTAATAGGGAACCTGTTGTTAAATCAAGAAGACTTTACCAGACTGGGAGATAGTATGAGGAAAGGTATCTGTGGCTGAGTGGTTAAGGTCCTTCACTTCAAACCACTTGCTCCTCACCACTGTGGGTTCTATAATCCAACAGGATTCTTTCATGTGAGGAAGCTTTTCAACTAGCTTATGGAACATCGATGGTTCTAATCAGGTGCCTGTTCATGCCTGACTGTTCAAGGTTGGAAAGTGCTGAGTTTGATCCATTATAGTCAATAACTCACTACACTATTATTAGTCCCCTACCGGTTTACCGGAGGGGACTTTAGGTTTACCCTCCGTCCGTCTGTCTGTCTGTCCGTCTGTCCGTCCGTCAGTCCGTCCGTCCGTCCACAAAACTGGATCCAGCGATAACGCAAAAAGAACTGAAAATATTTTAATGAAACTTGATATATGGATAGATGGCAGTATGGAGATTATGCACATTTTTTTCTTTTCTTCCTATGTTGAAAATTCTGGTTGCTATGGCAACAAATAGACTGAAAATATGGCAAATTTTACACATAACCTGGATCCAGTGATAACACAAAAAGTACTGAAAATATGTTTATGAATCTTGACATATGGGTAGATGGCAGTATGGAAATTATGCACATCCTTTTCTTATCTTCCTATGTTGAAAATTCTGGTTGCTATGGCAACAAATAGACTGAATTTCAAGATTTCTGATTCTAGTTTTTTTTAAAGTTTTTTCACTATAAGTTCTTTATTTCTTAAGGTATTTTCTTCAAACATTAAATATAAGTTGCTTGTCATCAACCACATTATATGTGACAAGGTTTACATTTCTAGCACAAAATTTATCAGAATTACCTCCCTTGAACTTAAAATTTTCATGAAAAAAAACATTTTTTTTTTTTTTTTTTTTGAATGTATCTTCTTCAAACTTCATTTAAAGGTTTCTTATCATCACTCAACATTTGTGAGTGTTCAATACTCTAGCAAGACTATTACCAGAATTATGCCCCTTTTGAACTTAGACTTTTTTTTTGAGAAATTGGTTATTTTTACTCCAACTTCTTCAATCATGATAGGATTTTAAAAATGTTATATTTTGATAACAGGGATGTTTAAAAAATAACTTTAGAGTGTCCTTCAGTCTGTCTGTCTGTACATAAAAACTGTTTCCTGTGATTACTTTTAAATAACTTTTTTAACAAATTTACTTAAAATAGGAACTTAAGTGAATGGACAATGGCCCTTCAGAATGTTGCTTGGGCTCTTACCGGTAGGGGACTTATGGATTGCTTGCAATACTATGATAATTGCTTGTATTCTATCCCATTCCCTTCCCCCCTTTGGGATTAGAAGAACCACATATTAGAATAAACATGATATCGACCCAACCTTGTAGCCTTAAAACACCTAAAAGCATTTTATAAACTTTTAGGGCTACCCTTTGACCTAAGCCTAATCAACTGTGAAAGCCTTCTCAAACTTATCTTCAAGTTCCTCAATAGCCTCTATCACAGTTTCCCAAGTCACAGAAGAGTTATCTTCATCAGAATGAACTTCATAACTATCAGTACTGACTGAAGAAACCCTCTTTCCTTCACACCTTTCACTGCGTTTGCTCCTACCAAAAATGGCCTCATGGCTCTGTTGGTACTTACCGACCAATAATTTGGCTTGTTCGACCGTGGATGGATCATGCATGTAAACATGGAACCCAGCTTGTTGGTCTAATAAACCATGGCAAAACCTACTTATAACCTGACTTGTTCTTTAAGACTTATGAGGAAATTTTGATATTTGTACCAATATCTGCTAAACTGACTGTTTGGATTTGTAAGTTAAGTTCTTGTGGCAACTTTCCTACTTTACTGATGTAAAAAAGAGCTCCAGTACAAGGCAATAGGTGGATTATGACGGACAAGCAAGCACCTGAGGTGAACCACAAACATTCTGTTAGCTAATTGGATAGCTTTTTCATATGAAAGAATCCAAAGTGTTCCCAAGCAGCAGTGAGGGGCAAATGGTTTGAATGTCAACGACCTGAACCACCTGGCCATAGAGGCCTTTTTATTACATGCTTTTCGGTGGATTATAGAAATATATCAGTGATTTATAAACTGGTAATTTCACTGTTTGAAACAGTGAAATTATCAATTTGATAATTTCACTGTTTTGAATTTAAGCCCGTTACGTTGTCTCAGTGAAATACCAGCGTGCACAGTACTGGAAACAAGCTTAATGACGTGACGTCGTAAATGACGTCACGTTGTATTAGAATTTGGCGCGCTTTTCATTTACTAGGGTAAAATGTCTCTTTAAATGTTTCTTAGCATGTAATAAAAAGAAAAATGCTGTCATAAAAACCAAGCAGTTCTTAACCCTCAAGTTGCTTTGAGAGCAACAACTGGAGAGGAATCAATGACTGTCAGTTTCTTAAATAATCTAGTCCAATTAACATTTTAGAACTGTCCATTATTATTTTAGGGATATCAAGTTGATAGATATAGATCCTATCGTATAGAGATGAGCAGGCTGGCCTGACTCTACTCAGGTGGCAATTTTAGTTCCTGCAGGTTATGGGTTAAGTAAATTAATGTTTAATAGTGAGTCAGGAAATTGAGGCCTAACATTTGATTCTTTTATAATTATGTGATAAGAACTCTTTAACGATACAAGATTTATCTCTGATGTTAAAATTGTGTTTTATCAATAATATAGAATATATAATTAATAAAATTAAGGAATTTTTTTTTACTGTTACAGACTGATGACTGGAAGGAAATGAGCTCATTAAATAATTTAGGAGACGTGTACAATCTTCATGTTGGAGATAAGAAAATTGATAAAGATCCTCGAAGTATATTTGTTGAAGGTTCTACAGCTGATGTTAGAGCCAATTTTCAGGTAAGAAATAATAAAACTGTCTGATGCTAGTTATGATAAATGCTTGTCTACAAGGTTGTCAGTATAACTTATAATTACCATTGCTTATAATCATATTATAATCACTAAATCTTATAATGTACCATTGATTATAATACAGTAGAACTTCGGTAAGTCGAAGTTGAAGGGACTAGCGTAAGAACTTCGACACATCGAGACTTCGACTCATGAATCGCTCTCAATTCTATGACAAAATTTCAACCCATGACTAGTCCTGATTATAAGATCTATAACGAAACCTATTTCATGTTTTTCCATCATTAATCTGATATTTTACATTTTACAATGATAAATATAGCATATGAAATAACGTTTTTCACGGCTAATTATTTGAACTGACCGTTGACGTATACAATAGAGTTACAAAAGGCGTTACAATAGGAAAGGGCGATAACTAAACCAGCTTATAGTAAATATTTTGCGTGTTATTCTCACGCGACACCGGGTCACGGATGTTTTCAAAAGAAAGTAGTTCTTACTGTTTACTTTCAAATACCACTACGGCAATTAAATTAGTAACGATTAAAGCTCAGCCTTCACTCAGCACGCCTCCAGATGAGCCAAAATATTTCAAGAAAAACATTGTATTGAGCAAAATGTACTAACATTTTAAGAAAGGTAAAACATTCAAGATCCAAGTTAAATTGTCATTTTATGTGCGGTTTCAGACTGAGTTTGCGGTATTTTATCACCAAATTTTTACTGCGTTACTAACGCAGTAAGGGCTGTTTTTACATATGTTGACCACATTTTGGTAATTTTCTTGGATTAAAAGTGCCGGATTGCAACATTTAAATTACTTTATTTGTTCTCCTCACAATATTTTACTTTTAAATACAATTTTAAAATTTTCATGAAAATTGACATTAATCTGGAAGTGTGCTGCTTTAAAGCATTCATCACACTTTTTATCGCAAACAAAGGCTGTTTGAACACACAGATGTGTAATTAACACCTGTCACACAAGTTGATTGGAAATCGACTGCGCAGCCAGATAAGGTGTGAAAAAATGTCTCAAGATCGAAAGTATCAAAATAATCAAACAACTTTGACTTATTTGTGGTAAATTGCACTAGATTTACTTTATACGGACCACGAAAAAACTTCGCTGTGTAAGGAATATATAGGGGAAATAATCGGGACTTTCATTTTTCTTCGACACATCGAGAAAATCGACTAATCAAAGTTCGACTCATAGTTCTACTGTATAACAAATATCCACCACATAATATAAGTTGTAATGGGGTATACTACATGTATAATAATAATAATATTAATAATAATAAGAATAGTAATAATAATAATGATAATAATAATAATAATAATAATAATAATAATAAAGGCTTAATTTAATAAGGCTACATATTCCCTAAAACTACCTCAACATTTTAACAACATACTGGCATGAGGCTATCCCTTAGTCTGGCCATCTGTGTGCGCCCACTGAATACGATATTTGCAGTTGTTACAAGCTCAAATCAATCACAATGAACAAGTATATTTTGATTTAATTATTTATTGCAGGCATATATAAGTTCATAAAACAGATCAATCTATATTCATTCATTTAAATGATCTAAGCTATAATTTACTGGTACCCAAGTAATGATTCAGTGATTCAGTACCCAGGTAGAAGTTTTATCCAAGGGATACCAGGGTACTTGAGCACTCATCCCAGCTCTACGCATAACATTCACCATTGCTTATAAACATCATTGCTTACAATTGGTTTTGGTCATGATCACTAAGGGTGTCGCGGTTAGCAAAAATGCTAGCCTTTTAAACTGCGACTTAAGGTGACAACGGAGTCAATTATTACTGAAAATACCTAAAATGAGATTCTTTGCTTAGTACATTTATCAATATTTTCTGAACACATTCGTGATTTAATTTTGGAAGCAGTTAGTCCAAAAAATGTGTTTTTAAACGTTTTAAAACGGTACCTGTACCATTTTTATCTGCTATTCGCGTAACCTGTCAATTATCGATAACACTCCGCCCCCTGTTGAGGCATCAATGAGGGAAATCGGTAGTTCCATATATCCGTGAATTACCCGTCCATACTGGTCCATACTATTCGTAATTCATGTATCGTACAAATACCGTACATCTTTTATGAATATCGTCTACCTTTTATTAAGCATTTTTATAAAATAAGAAACTGTCGGCCAATGTACGTAACATAATGTATGAAACATAAATAATTAAGCATAGCGGCAAATCGCACGACCACGGGTTGATTTAAAATATAGTTGCTAAAATATCCATAATTTGTGAAAATAATTTGTCTGTCCCGTTAATCTGATAGATATTACATTGAGTTTATGGACTTTTGTACAGATTAATCGGCTTGCTTTACATTTAACCTCGTTTTCTAACAATGTCAAGTAAAACAACAACAAAAACAGACAACATTTTTTATGTGAACGCCTATATGACTTGTGGTAAGGTGTCCCTGACAAATTTCTAAACCATTTTAGATTGTTTAAGGATGATCATTTCTCTATGAATCAATAAAAAAAGATATTAATATATACTATCAGTGAATGCTCTGAATAAATTGTTCGCCAGTAAATCGAACACAGTACTAATAAACCTGGGACAAAGTATGGAATTTATTGTATATCCCAGTAGAAACTGGATATCTATGCCGTGCATAGATGATTTTCATGATAAAAGAAGTCATAAAGGTCAGATGATACCTTTTATTTCTATTATAATATGTCAAGCATTTATTTCGATTTGGAGGAAGAAATATATAATATCTCGTTTTTATTTTTACATTTACCATGGACTTTAAAAGACCATCAGAAGCTCAGTTTTTTGTTATTTTAATTTATATTTTAACGGAATTTCATACACGAATACACAGACAGAGTGACACTGGTATAATATAATAATAATGCTGATGATAATAATAATAATCTTCAAAAGTGAAACAATTAAATACCCCGCTAGCGGTGCGCAAATACGTTCCATTTCCCCCCACCGAGTGCCTCAAATTTTACCGAAAGTCACGTGACATGTGCGACCGACAGTAAATCACGTTAAGATTTGAAGAAATTTCTGTTATAAACTGATATTAATCAGCAACTTTTTAATTGGTCAGATGTCACTGGGTCATAAAATGTTGTTAGAGTATGTTAGCGCAACTTGTGACCCTCTCTGGTGCGATATTTGTGTATTATGCAATTATTTAGCGTGAAACGTAGGGGTCCGAGAGAGAACAGCCGATTTATGACACTTCGTTTGATGCGGGTCGGACTAACTTTGAATCGGCATTACATTTTTTATAATCAAGCAATTAACATGCGGTTTAAAGCACATGAAAGGGAATTCTTTTACGGAGGAAACAGTGTGAGGGATTTTTGTTTGCTCAATCAGCGACTTAATTATCTTTAATTACGTAATATGTATGGTGAAAAAAGTCGCATAAAATGTTTGACGTTACGTTATATTTTTTGAGAAAAGATAGAAAAAATTTGAGACACGGTTCCCCAGATATTATATATATGTTTATTTTCCAAAGGTTTGATGACAAAAAAATAAAAAATGACTTTGATATGACGATTTAAAATTTTAGGATTTTTATTAAAAATCAATCATTTACAAAGGCATTTTTTTCAAATATGTTATTTTTTATGTTGATCAACGACATTTAATGCACAAAGATTAAATAAATAACAATTATTACTAAAATAAGTTGGTTTAAATGACATTTATGTGAGTACCACGGAAAGTGTCTGTTGTCACCTTAATAACTTGGTTTGAATGTACTAAGAATGTTTTTTTATTTTAAACATTACCCTTGCTTTTTATGATAAGATAGCACATTTTGTTTGTTTTTTGTTATGCTCAACAACAATTACAAAACATATCTGATTATAAAGTAGCTGTTGTCTGTTATGAATGTACCATACACAAAATATAACATGCAATCGGGGAAAAATACAATTAGAATACAAACAAAATGTCATACCTTGTTATAAAGAAACAAAAGCAACGTTTAAAATCAATCTAAAATTTCTTTAGCTGTTGGACTTATACTAAACATGTTTATACTAAATTCAGTCACCGGTTATTGAAATTTCTAAATGGTTTGTGGCAATTAACCTACCAAACCTGTTTAAACCCCTAATGATCACTCTTGCTTAAAGTTACCATTGCTTTTAATCTCTGTCATCATGTAAATAAAGATTTTTACATGCATTTTACAGGAAAGTTCTTTCCAACAATGATCAATGATGGATCAAAAACCAATCAACAGTTATTATGCCCCCATTTCGAAGAAAAGGGGGTATATTGCTTTGCACTTGTCGGTCCGTCGGTCCGTCGGTCCGTAGACCAAATGGTTTCCGAGTGATAACTAAAGAACCCTTAGGCCTAGGAACTTCAAACTTGGTATGGTGATTGGTCATGACCAGTAGATGACCCCTATTGATTTTGGGGTCAAGGGGTCAAAGGTCAAGGTCACATTGACCTTGTAAGCAAAAACGGTTTCCGATCAATAACTAAAGAACCTTAAGGCCTAGGAACTTCAAACTTGGTATGGTGATTGGTCATGATCAGTAGATGACCCCTATTGATTATGGGGTCAATGGGTCAAAGGTCAAGGTCACATTGACCTTGTAAGCAAAAACGGTTTCCGATCAATAACTAAAGAACTTTAAGGCCTAGGAACTTCAAACTTGGTATGGTGATTGGTCATGATCAGTAGATGACCCCTATTGATTTTGGGGTCAAGGGGTCAAAGGTCAAGGTCACATTGACCTCTTGGGTAAAAACGGTTTCCGATCAATAACAAAAGAACCCTTAGGCCTAGGAACTTCAAACTTGGTATGGTGATTGGTTATGACCAGGAGATGACCCCTATTGATTTTGGGGTTAAGGGGTCAAAGGTCAAGGTCACATTGACCTTGTAGGTAAAAACGGTTTCCGATCAATAACTAAAGAACCCTTAG